GACCCGGCATGTCGGCCGACCTGTAACTGTACCCTCCCCCCCCCCCACACACACAAACGTTCGCCTGGATCCTCCCTTGCCCTCGGTAGAGAAGAGGCCCCCGGGATCCTCCGCCCCCCCCCCTTGGCCAAATCCTAGGTACGTGCCTGCAATTGTTTCGTGCATTTGGGAGTATTCGTGTGGCTACACGACTTATAACTTTAAAAATAAATTAAAAATATGCTTCCAATGATATGCAGAATGCGGAGGTTTTGCAAAATACTACAACAGAAATTGTTCTGTGAAGGTCCTGCTTTACCGATCACGCTCGTCTACTTTGTCGATTCATATCGTGGCCCTAGAAGTAGTCGAGGTGGTCCCTCAAACAGCCAAAAGGGAAGAGCGGGAACATACACTGCATAAATGTGGTTGCAAAACGTTGAGCCGGAATATAAATACCAACGCCTTATTTTATAAGCCTCAAGTTGGATCCAGGGGGAAAGATCAAGTCATATCACTCAAGTCACAGACCCGCTTTTCACCACCACGGTCCACGCTCCCCCCCCCCCGGTCAACACCTTTTCCACTGCTGGTTTTTCCCTCCCCCCCCCCCGGTCAGCACGTTTCGTCGCCGCTACCACTGGCGTCCAGGGTTCAGCCCCCCCAACCTATTTTGCGATCCTACACCCCTGGCTTACGCTTTTCTGAAAACGTCTGCGTTTGGCCTTCCACGGGCCCGGCCGGCCGGCCGGCCCCGATTGGCAGTCCACCAGTGACGTCACTGGTAGTGTTAAGCTGATTGGCGAATAATACATGGGGAGAACCGGGACGACATCCCCCTGGTTCGATGTCTCTCGGATGACGAAGATTCTACGTCGTCCAGCCAATCCCGTCCAAGGTCAGCGGGGGCTCGGCTGTGGTTATGAAACGTGATTGGCCGGACGGCGTAGAATCTTTGCCGTCCGGGAGGCATCGAACGCGGGGTGAGTTTCGCGCTGTTCGCGCTTTACCAGCGTCACATTTGCCGCCAGCTTTCTACGCTAGTAAAGCTTGGAGCTGTTCACACAGCAGTGTATTTGAGCAAGCCACGACTGAATGTCTAATAGAATTCCTTGAACGGTACACTAATATTGGGGGTATATTTGGCGGTTTGTGATGAAAGAACAAGTTTTATTGGCTTACTCTTGGCGTTAATTTGGCTTTTACCAAATTCGCGAAGTATAGACACAAAATAATAAAAAACATGAGATATGGAAGCATAAATTAGCGCGGTGTGAACCAAATGATCATTGCTACCAAATTGCTACCCGCTCGCGTATTCGCCAAGTGTATTACACGAATCGGCCCACCAACTAGCGACATCTCTAGTGCGACGTCATAGCCATCCGACGCGACAATGCATGCATTGAGGCTAGATTTGAGTTGAGACTTTTTTGCAATTGTATATGGCTAATCATGATTTCATGTGCCGTCGTAGCCGAGTGGTTAGAGTCTCGGTGTAGTGATCGAAAGGTCGGTGGATCGATTCCTGCTTTAGCGGTTCTTTTCTCTTATAAAGAAGTCGGTCGTAGACACGCATTTTTGGCCCCTACATTCGCACGCCAATATCTTACGCTCAATAAATCTATGACAAGTATTCATCTGATTAAGGAATATGTTGCAAAAGAACTGCAGTTGCAGTCTATACCTGAACTACCAATTTTGTTACGGTACTGTCGATATTCGTCAAAGTCGGAAGAGCTATTATGAAACACACTCGAATGACAACGGATTCCTGTATTATTTCATCGATCAGATAAGACATGTATAGAGATAACTTGATGACAGCTCGCCGTGAGCATGCAACTTAACAATCAGTCCCAAGTTATCTTCATAAACGTCTAATTTAAATCTTTTTGACTTTAACTAGATTCCAAGCAAGGGGATTTAGGTATCCCCTGGCGGCTGAAATGTAAAAGTTATAGTTAGGGCATAGCTCCTATAGATGACGCTCTTTTGACGGCTGGAAATTGATAATCTCGTCCCGTGATTACGCTAACAGCTATGCCGAACTTTTTTTGTGCACGGTGATTCTTACACGAAAAACTATCTAATAGCCTGCTCACCAGCGTGCGATTTTTACCTTTCATCTTAGTTTTCGCTACTTTTAGGTACTTTACCTTGCCAAGTGCCCATCTACTTTCAAAAGGTCAGCGCCGCCCCTGTCATATCCAGCAGGAGCTGCGTGCTATCACCCATTGGCAGTGAGAAATATTGATCAATGGCCATCGCCCAGCACCATTTGTCTTTCCATTGGCTACGTTCGCATAGTATGCACTATGCATTAGTGATGTCAATCACAGAACAGAAAGTCAGAAAACCGATACCAAACCAAATACAAACAAAGACCATTGGAAAATACCGAAACCGAACCAATAGGATGGACTGCAAATATTTCTCTTATGCAACATATTCATTAGAAGAATGCCTACCTCTGAATTCTTAGGTGCACGCCGTTGCAAATGTATAAAAAAGAAACGCACAATGACAGATGACACCAAAATTGAAATCGCCGAGTGGATTCGAACCACCTACCTCCGTATCACCAGTCCGATACTCTAACCACTTCGCCACGGCGACAACAAATTCGCAGCAGCTTAAATGTCCTTAAGCTAAAACCTAGCTTCAATAGACGCCACCAAGGGCGAGGACCGAACGTATGACGCCACGCTGACGTCACTCAAGAGGCACGCTATTAGTCGGCCGATTCGTGTAATACACTTGGCGAATACGCTACCCGCTCGTCGTGTGAGTCGGGTGGGACTAAATGCTTACTTCGAAATCTAAGCTACGTTGCGGCATTGGCGGTTATGTGCGGCGTGTATGCCGCATGATTAGTAAGAGGCGACCACTAAATTAAAGACTCAAACGCTCCGACCGGTTCTCAATGAATAACACTGCATACCAAAAATGCCAACCGCTCTCGTCATAAGATATTCAGCTTTAAATAACTAGGTTATCTACATCATCATTTTGAACCAAATTAATACTTTCAACTTAACTCACTCATTCCTTGCTTTGTTGTCTCCAAACAGTCGTTCGATTGTCTGGAAATCGTATGCTAAATCCCGTACCTGTATGCGACTGGTGCATATAAAGGCCGATAAAAGAATTTGAATAGGCTCTGGCATGCGATTTCCTGGCTACCCAAAAAAGTCTGTTTCAGTCTTGCTATCAAAACATGACCTCGCCCGCACAGGGGGGGGGGGGGGGTTGATGCAACCCCCCTAAGGTTTTTCGCGAATAACTCGCTTAAAAAGCGGCTGATCGCGACGAAACTTTCAGTACCCTCGCATTGATCAATTTAACACCCATCCTGAAAATTTCATGACCCTGACCCAAATGACCTTTGACCTGTGACCTACTTTTCGAGACCATGTTTGGCCGGAACCGCGATTCAGCGTATGTCGGCTCGCATTAGCAGCGCGTTTGCAGTCTTTTCGTGGTTTCAAGCGTTCAAACATGTGATATGATGTTGCCCCCATGCATTAGGGTGGGTGTCAAGGTCACCTGAAGGTCAGGTCAGGTCATTGACCTTTGGTGACCTCGGTTCACTTTTTCGAGTTTGACATGTTTCTAGGTCAGTTTTTTCGAGCTGAATTCGAATTAAAGGAAGGGTGCCACCTTTTGGACACAACGCAGTTTTTACAAGATTAGCCTCACATGAACCTAAAAACCGGCTTCACTTACCTATGCTCGAGACGGTCAGCATTGAATCCGCACGTGAAGTTATCATTTGCCAGTTTTGCTGCCAGCATTTGGGCAGGCAAAAATCTTCAGCACTATTTCCTCGTCGTGTTAAGGGTATTTTATAAAACATGAAATCAGCAAAGGTATGTATAAAAGTTATACTTTTGAAGCATGTTTTATCATTTTGAAAGGGTATATTTTTTCTTTATGGTATACACTTAAGTTTTAAAATTTTAATTGGGTAGTTTTTCTAGTAAGTTGCATGAAGGGTGAAGGGTTCCATAGATCTTGTAAAGGAAAAACCTTTACTCGACTTATTTGATGTTCTTTTCTGATGTTCTTTCTGATGTTCTTTTGATGAAACCTTTAGTTCAAATCATGTTATCTTCTTTCTTTTTATTTGTTCATCTTTTTGTCTCAGTTGCGCCATCAATGCAAATGGCAGAATGATATGTTGCCATGACAACAGGATATGCCAGCCGTCCTAGCTGCCACATCAAACGACCTTGAGTTGTAGTGGTGATATAAACAACGATCCTTTTTTTTGGCCAATGTATTAAATGCAATGTTTCGGTTTTTTGTATATTGTGGACGCGCTAACCACGTCTAAAAATTCAAATAAGTAAAATAGATTCATAGAACAAAAATTTCGGAAGGTGGCACCCTTCCTTTAAGCAACCACATGAACGTTTACAAAGTAGTTTTGGTGCCTTCGTAACATGTTACGAGGCTGTCAGAGGCGGTTGACACCTACTACAAATACCTGGCAGGACCTCTACTGGTTGACCTGACCTGACCTAACCCGACCTGGCCTAAATGAGTGAAGACATCATCTGTGATCAAAACTAGCATGATATTCGTGATCAGCACCCCGAAAAACCCCATAGCAGCCACACTACGACGTTCTAACAGGTCCCAATTTTCCCGCCTTTTGGGTCATTGACCTGACCTGGAAGGTCAACCGATAACCTAGGACCTTAAAATTGGGTATCATCGGCTTTCTCTCGTCACGGGCAACACGCTCGTTTTTTCCGCGAAGCTCTAGCTTGATCAGGAGCGAAACGGCAAGGGGTTATACCTTATACGTTCGCGGCTGAGTATTAATTTGGTTCAAAACAATGATGTAGATAAGTTAGTTATTTAAATCTAAATATCCTATGACGAGAGCGATGGGTTATGCCAAGTTAACCCTGTTAAAGTTAACCCTGTAACTTAGTGGTCGCCGCTTACTAATCATGCGGCATACACGCCGCACATAACCGCCAATGCCGCAACGCAGCTTAGATTTCGAAGTAAGCATTTAGTCTCACCCGTGTGAGTCGTCTGTTATTGTTATTAACTTATTGGGCGAATAAGCGTAGTCATAAGTCATAAGTAGTGGTTAAATAAGGTAATTGCTGATTATTAGCTTGTTTTCTTCATTTCCCTTGTGCAATTCAATATTGGGACATTCAAGGCATTTACATTACATGTTTTGATTCAAGGGTGATCATTCTTGATCTCAGGGGGGTTCGCTCCCGTGCCTTCAGCATTACGAAAAATGGAAACAACCCGTGAGCAGCATCAGCGCTCACGCACATGTTCAAGAAAAACAACGTGTAATGGACTGCTAACGACGACCCTCTCCACCAATCAGCGTTCGGCATCTCGAGCGCTGATTGGCTGGTAGCAAACGCGTCATATGTGGGTCTCATTTTTGGCGATCAGTGAACGCGTTATTTAATACACAGTGGCCTATGGAGAATGGCACGCGGAATTGAAGGTGAGTGTTTTATTGCTTCGTACATGCGAATGGGGGTATTTGAGTGGCATTTGACACCATTTTCGAAATCTACAGTGAATTTCTGATCGAGTTATGTATATATTTTTATGAATTTGACAGTATTAGTGCTACATAGTCGGTGTTTTATGTTGGTGTTGTTTCTCTCGACCTTTGTCTTGGACTTTTATCATATCTTTTCTCGAAAATGCTTGCCATAACCAGGTCTAAACTGTGTCTGTATAAAGGGAATATGTGTTGAATATGAGGAGAAAGAAGTAATGACCATTCTGCCTCTCAAACTGCCAGAAGGTGTGCTTGTAAGGTGATTGAAACTGCAGTACGGGTTGCAGATGTGGGTTTGACATTAGCATTGTTGTTGTATGTAACCCCATTTGCTTTAATAAAATGGCAACATGGGGTTATGTACCCACTATTGCACAGCCTGGTATCAAGCTGATTGATATGTGGAGGATATAATAAAAACTTTTCTTAAGTGAATAGGAACGTTGCGTCTGGTGACTTATGTCAAGTCATTTAATGATTGTGATTGTAACTTTTACTTTAATTATTATTGCTAGTTTTGACCTTTTTAATCATCAAGTTATATGTGTACCAATTTCATATGCCTGTGTAATGTCTGTGCGGCTTTGTGCAGTGTGCGTGTCTTGAAACAAACCAATTTATTTTGTACCTTTTTGTACTTCAACAAATGTATGTGAAAGGACAAAAATGTCATGTCTATTATCATTGACACTACTACAGCTAACGTTGCCTATATTCCTATCTTTCAGAGGCATTCAATTCAATCTGCTTTCCGGTGCAGTACCTAGGAGGCTGCAACTGAAACTCACACAAAGGCAATCAAGTGTCACTTCATCAGCCTACAGCAACAGCCCATCTGTAATCAAGATATGGATGAAGTGGAATAGAAGAACAACCAGTTCAAACATGAAAAGATATATTTTGTTTTGGACTATTTCTTAGCATAACAGAACAGCACACTTGCTGCTTTTTATGTTTGCCCTGTGTGCAGTTTTGAATAATTTTAACTATGAAATGCTTTTGCCAACTCTTCTCTTTACATACGATTCCTTTGTCATGCATGTGTAATTTTGAGTTTACATGCATGATGCATGTTTCCCCTGGCTTCATAAAACTACTTGCAAGCTTTTGTTATGGACATTGGTGCTACCTATATATGATGCTTCAGATGTGTCCAGTAGTTGATGAAGGGAGGAGAGGAGTAGGACAGCTGATAGCTATTACCAAAAATATGTGCTTGTCTGCACTTTGGGCTGTTCCATCATATGCAACTTCTATTTACTTCCTTGAGTTGTTAGAAACACGTGATCTTTTGTTTCTTTCCTGTGCGCCCATTCTTTCCGTAGTGTTATAAACGTCAAGTTTGAAGTTGGTATCCAAGTGAGCAAAATTTGCATTATTTCAGTCCGTCTTGAATCATTCGTCTTGAATTATATCCCTAACTGACATCCTGTTATTTGTCCTGCAATGTCTGTGCCTGTGTCCGCCCTTACCTCCGGCTCCAGCCTCCAACCAGCCCTGCTGAGTGCTGAGCTCTGTCGCCGGCGCGGTGTGTCGCAACGTGCTGTTTCTCCACTCCGAAACAGCACCAGCCGACAGCTGCTAGGAATCGTCCTGTGCCATGCGCTATGCGACACAGCAATTGTAAGATGCAGGTCACATTCGGACTGATTGGCTCCGCGTATGTGCATCCGGCCGGGTGCTAGTCGATATCAGGGACGTGGGTCGGACTGTTGTGGCGGCGTGCACTGTGCTGGTTGAAGTTGTTGTATTTCTGTTAGTGAAAAGCATTAATACATAACCGTGGCCGCAGCCCGCTGTTATTGTGGATTTCAGAGGGAGTGGCCAGTCAGGAGGGCCCCATGGGGCCCTCCTGGCCCTCCGGCCTCCATACCCACATGCAGGTGGGTATGGATCCAGTGTCCAGTGGGATCGGCTAAGATTTCCGGCGATTGATAAACGCTTCTCATTCTATGATAGTAAACCTAGTCCTATTGAGTTATGAGGGGAGGTCACGTGAGGGGCCTGGCGTTACTAAAGTCTTGTGAAAACACAACACATACGAACGGTAAGAAACCGACAGCTCTTCTTTCTGCCAAGTGTCATCTTTCTGTGAAGGATTTCTTGGCACTGAGTGTTCAGAAATTGCGTTGTTTTTGGACTGTGTAGAGGCTCACGAGCGACAGTATAGGTCAACAACCTGATGTACCTTAAATATGCGACTTGTACCAGAAGATCCAGCTTGATCAAAAGATTGGACATGTCAAATTTCAGCTCTTTAGCTCAAAAGAATTCTGAGCTGTCGTAAAACCGTCAGTGTGGCACCATATCGCCTTCCCGCGCGGTCGGAAGGTAAAAGTTCGCCGGCTCTAACTAAACAAATAGTCGTCGTATCGCAAATTCATTGACGGCGTTCGAAGCGTCGTTCAATTTACTTTCGAAACATATCCTAACATTAACATTTAACTGCCTAGCGCAATCTCCAACAAGCAAAAGTTCCGTGCATTCATCCTCATACATTGTTAGCGGCCGCCGGCCGCCGGCCGCTGACCCACATTCGCGTCATCAGGGAATGCCGCAACTAATTTATTGTTTCCAACTTTTTTCCCGGAGCGTTCTACCTGGTTAATATAGCCTTGCTTGATCTTGATAAGAGCTTAGGATCATTCTGTTGATGTGTCCTTGTTGTTGTCCTATAGTGATAGCAATAGGCAACTCAAGTCTGTTGGTAGAAATTCATTGACTGGTTTTCTTTTTATGTGATGTCTTTTGACATTTGGATAAATTTGTAAATCACATATCTCTGATGCAATTATGGTAATAGTTATTGGCCATCTACAATTTACACAATGCAAAAAAAAAACAATGCTCAGTCATCACCAGTATAACGCCTTATGGGGCGACTAACGGAGCGAGCGAGAGGGTGGGCCTTGCACGTGCGAAATTGCGAGGGGGTACCTCCAACTGACTTGTGCACGGCACCCTACTAACCGGTCTCTAGCGATGTGCCAAATTTGGGCACAATCGGCCCAGCCGTTCTCGAGATCTGGAAGCGGCACCCTGCACGTGCGCACGTGCAAAATGGGTCCCAACTGACTTGTGCACGGCACCCTACTAACCGGTCCCAAACTGTGTACCAAATTTGAGCGCAATCGGTCGAGCCGTTCTCGAGATCTGGAAACGACCCCTGCACGTGCGCACGTGCAGCAGCACCCCAACTCTGGCACATGGATATGCAGTGCCTAGTGGGTGCCTACCTACATGCCAACTTTGAGCGCAATCGGCCAAGTAGTTACCGAGATATTGCAACAATTGCAAAACTGACACCTCTTCGTTTTGCACGTGGCACGTGCATAAGGGGTCACCCACATGCATCGGGAATAGTCCAATACTTGGTAGAAGGAATGAAGCTACCCTACAAAAATTACCGCATGTAAATCGGTCAAGTGGTTGCTGAGATATAAGCCTCGCAAAAGCGTCCGCACGGCCGGCCGGCCGGCCGCTCATACTCAGAAATTTCCGTTAATCTAAGGAAAGACTCTGCTCGCTTCGCTCGCTCCGTAATGAACATCAGCAGGTGGTCATAAAGCAACTTCAACTTCAATCAACATCTTTTTTGCTGCCGCAAAGGAATTTTGAAACCATGGGTTGTGGATATGATTTGTATTTAAAGAGTAGGTAACATATGATGACTTTCTAAAAATAACATTTCTTATCACTCTTTTATCCTATGAATTAATGTCTTATTGATAAAAAGTGACATCTGAGGCCAGTTTTACCAACAGAAAAATAGCTGCCTGCGGGAATCTTTTGCCTAAAGACCGTTTCACAGAGTGTAAACGTGATGGGCATGTAAGCGGATAGGCCTTTACTGTTTCATCCTGTATGTGAATTGTGAAGCAGTCTTTATGCAAAAAATTCTGGCAGGCAACTATTTTTCTGTTGGTAAAACTGGCCTCTGGAGTGATTGCTTTCATCTAAGCTGTTATGTGAATGACTCTTATGGCATCCAATGTGCATGCTCCTGGGCATTGTTCTGGTATCAAAGTTTTAATGTTAACTTTGTACATTTAACATGTTCAGTTTATATTTCTTTTAATGATCCATGCTATGCCACTTCAGAGCAATTGTCCTCAACCTGTCATCAAGATGTTGTCATCATCTTCTTCACCTGACATAGAAGAAAGAGATTCTCCAGATATGGATGAGGATTCAGGGCAAAAACAGGAGACCAAGGACCAGGCACCAGATAAGGTTATTTTGCTGGCACTGTATAATCTGTACATGTTCTTGAGGTTTTAAGCATATCTTGTCTTTTCATTTTTTTAAAATATTTTATATTCATTGAACAAAACTCATCTTTTATTACCTCTAACTTACCTTATCTGCATCGTGGTAGAAATGTGATGCCTAATTCACCTTATCTTTATATCACCCTATCATACCTATTCTAGATTTTGTGCTAGATTCATGTCATTAAGGCCCTGGCCTATACAGCATGTTTATGTTTGCTGTTTGCTCGGCGGCATCACAGATGTCATCTTGAAAATGTCACTTTGTTGTAGCTTGTAGACTTTTATTAGTGAGACCACATTGACATCTGACCTCTCACAGCCTTTGCTAGTTGAGTGTATTCTTATTGTCTTTTGTTAACCCGCGCCCCAGTGGCGGTCTCAGCCAACTTCGCCCTAGTGAGGGGGGGCATATGTTACCACCCACCTTTAACTCAAAAACTAAGAGGGCTAGAAAGACGCGGTAAAAAGTAGTCGATAGCTCTCAATGCGTACGTTTGAAAGTATTTCGGTCATTTTTCACCTTAGAGCAATATTGGGGTCACCAGAGGTCATCAAAGGTCAAAATTTGCCAATTGTCATGATATTTTTCAGAAAACATGCCGCTATCTCAGGAACTATGATAGCTAGGAAAACGCATGGAACAGCAATCGGTAGCTTTTGAACTCTTCTTTTGAAAAGGTCATTATCAATATTGACCTCAGGTCAACGGTTTAGCCTCCAGAGGGCAAAAACTCCAAAAATAGCCGTTTTTACGAAAAGTGTTTTTCGACAATAACTTTCTACTACAAAAAGCCACGACATTTCTATTGCCAGAATCGTGTTCCCCTCGCCGAGACGCGTCGAATGAACTATAATTTGACCTTGAAAGATCAACTTGAAAATTTGACCTCAGGTCAAGGTCATGACCTGACCGGAAAAAGTTCATGTTGCATATCAGTCGATGCGTCTCAACAAGACAAACACAATGAAACCATCCCCAGCGTTCTATCTCTTTCCAATCGCGAGTTATTGGCAAAAAACTGTTTGTAGCCTCAAATGACCTCGGATGACCTTTGTAGAAGCTATCAGCAAAAATGACCCCTTGGTCGTCACGAGTGGACTAAATCATTGTGATTCTGAAATATTTGGACTGTTCCTATGCGTACACACGGATCTAGAGGCATTTTCATTTTTCTCCATTGACTTGTAATGGAAAGGTCACGCCACTGACCTGACCTTAGGTCACGGATATAAAAAATCTGAGATATACAAATTGTAGGTGCCCATAACAGCATGCAATCCACCAAGTTTAAAACCTTTTTGACAAACATTGCAGGCTGGACATGATTGCAAACTTTTTTTTAGGCTTGGTCAGTTAACTTGACCTGGTGACCTGACCTGACATGACCTGGGGTCAAAAATTTCCCACATTGTCCAAAATTGATGTACCAAAAGCTACCCCAAGCGGCGCGGCGCTACGCGCCGCGGTTTTTTATTCACACGCAAAAAACGCGACAGGGTGGTAACATATGCCCCCCCCCCACCCCCCACTGGGGCGAAGGTTAACTTGGTATGGTGACCCTTCCTCTGATTGACATTCAGATGTTATTTTAATCATATATTTACATTTTCAGGGTGTTATCATCTTCTCCATTCCTGATGTGGCACTGGTTGGGTCACAGCCACACTCGAACAGAATTGTACCAGGATCACTCCATATTGTGGACAAGGTAAAAGAGGGCCGCTCTATGCAGATCAATGGGGAATAAAAAGAGCCTCAATACTTTGTAAATTTCGCTGAGTTGATATATCAGGTATTGGAATCTGTATTTTGCTGCTCATTGAACAAATTTATCCTGAAATTCTTATCTAGAAACTGGCAACAATTATTTTCATTAGTGACCCACATAACGACCCCAAATGATTAGACGACCAGGATGCATCAGCACCCCTTTCTGATCCTGTTTACATGCTCAGGGTCACGGCAAGTACATGCAGTGGCAGCGCTCGGACAGCCCGAGCCCGGAGCGGTCGGCGAACGGCGGCCGCGGCGAGCCGGCCGGGGCCGCCCGCAGTCCGGACCGCTCCGAGTGGGCGCTGCTCGAGCCCGCTGTCGGCTACCACCACAGTCATGACAACGGCAAGGAAGGTGGGTGGATGGCGGCGCTCGGCGAGTCTGATATGGCTGGGGGTGTTTTGGTGTAGTCAAATTGTAATTTCTGCTGCCACTACATCACCATGCAGACTTCGCTTTTATGACAGTGAATGATATTCAATATTCATCATATTTAGTTAGTGATGTCAAACTCGTTAAAGTATGATCCTTTGGGTGGAGATATTTATTACCGGCCTAATCTATGCTACGTTTTTTTCCTACAAAGTACTAATTTCACTAGTTAAACTCATTGCGATCGCGAAACAAACCGCTTTGTTCAGTCGGTGCGTCCGCTATTCAGTGCGATCAGCCCGTTTCCACCGTCGCTGCCGCTGTTCACTCACCCCTCCCCGTCTCTCCTATCCCCCAGACTCTGTGTCCATGTCTCCGCCGGCCGCCGACTCTGCCGAGTTCCGTCCGCGACCGATCGAGGTCGACCTCTCGGAGATCCGCTCGCTGCGCGTCACGGAGCGCGGCACGCTCTGCGTGATCGTCCAGTCAGACGGCAGCACCACCAGTCCGCTGCGCTTCCCCAGCAGCGCGCACATGGACTCGTTTCTCGACATGGTGAACAGCGTCACGCCCATCGTCAGGTCAGTGAGTGCCTGATGACGGTCGGTGCAGTGGTCACAATGATGGCCATGAAAAACTCGCCGATAATTGTGACGATGACAGCCGTCTCTCAACTACGTCGGCTGGATAGTTTAGGACAGGGAAGGACAGAACAGCCCCAGACTGCGGAGTCGATCAGTTATTGATCATCGCGGCCTTTCATTCCCACATATTTTGAAATTTGTTCATCATGCCTTATATTTCGTAATATGTGTTTGAAATAGCTGTCTGCAGATGTTTTCAAGATGTCATTGCCTTATTTTGTGTGATGCGTTCTAGTTCCCCTCCACTCCTATCGCTAACATCACCGTGCATACATACATACGCCTCAATAACCGCTATGTGTGATGCGCTGCTAGGTCGTGCAAGGACAAGGCGCTGTACCTTGCCGAAGAGCAGAGTCGGCCGGCGCGCGCCACCCAGGGCACCGTGGACACCCTGTACGGGTTCGCGCGCTTCTCCGAGCGACTGGTCGGTACTGGGATAAAGCTGGTGCGCGACTTCCACCAGGACCCGCGCGCCGCCACACTCACCGGCATCGGCAAGGTGGCTGAGATTGTCCGTGAGTAATTGGGGGATGAAGAGGTAATTGTGGGACCTTATCTGTCGATTTTGGACTCTGAGGCATTGGAATTGGGGATCGATGAGTCGGAAATGGGGACACTGCTTTGCTCGTGCTGCCTAGTGTGCTTACACTTTTAACACTGATTTTTAACTACAAAATCTACTACTTATCTCAAAAGGCGACTTAGAAAGCGTAAATATTCCAGTCGAGCTACCCAGTGACCCGTGACCGCTCATAGTTCGTACCGCGATGCGCATTGCGCAACTGTGCACTGTGCAGTGAATACAGGCACTGACAGAAAAACCATGCATTTCGTCTCCAGTGAACCGCGGCCTGGAGGACCACAGACCAGAGGAGGCCATTGCCGACGCTCTCCGACAGCACAGCTTTGAACTGGAGCCGCCCCGGCTGCAGAGCACTCAGCACGAAGGTAGAAATATCATCATATGTGATCGGGAGGATTGACGTGGTTGTAGTTGGCTTAAAATGTAGTTTCAGTTGTATACTGTAAGTGTATAGCCTTGGCCGCCGCTGTTAAGTAATGCAGTTTATAATGGGATTGATGGATCATAGGCACGAACAGATAATTTCGAGCCAAATAAAAATGGTATAAATGGGCGGCGTAAATCTGACCGCTTCCCGCTCGGCCAGGTTTCGAGGTGGTGACCGAGATCCGTCTCGGGGAGAAGCGCCCGGTGGCCCGCCAGAAGCCCCTCACTCAGCGGGAGTGGGACGACGCGCACGACGTCGAGGGCCGCATCCTCGACCCAGACGCGCTGAGGAGGCGCATCTTCCACGGGGTAAGTCGGCACCAGACTCCAGGGGATGACAGAATGATGGCGCACTGAGAGCTCGGACTAACGCTTGATGGAATAGGCTCTCGCATGCGATTTCCTGACTGCGGAAAGAGTCTGTTTCAGGCTTTAGTGTGTAAGTTTTCAGTGTTATACACGTAGAAGTTTTATACACCCACCAACGCTAGTCCGAGCTCTCTGTAAGCCGACGTAAACGGTTGCCGTCTCACTGTGTGATGCTGGCGTTTCGGAAGTTGTTTATGAGAAGCGTTCAGCTGCTACTTTTTTGCTCTGATAAGTGCATGTTTGGATGGAGTCCCATCGTTAATTCTCACATGTTTGACATGTGATTGTCAGGTAAACATACCCGAGCTGTCTGATATTTGGAAGTTGTTTATGGATGATGCTAGATCATTTTATGTCAGGCTTAGACTGGTAGACATGAGAGTGACTCAATCAGTTCATAGACTGTTCAATCATGACCTTATTTAAGCCGTATGGAATCTGTTCACTAATTGCGCTGTTCTGAAATTGCCTCTTATGGCCTGGCCTGACCTGACCGATCTAACCTAACCCGATCGATCCGACTTACCCGACGTCCTGACCTGACTTGATCCGCCCTGACCTGGCTTGACCCGACCTGACCAGCTGACCTGACTTGACCCGACCTGACCTGGGCAGCAGGGATAGGAAGTGTAGTCGCAGCTGCCTGCCTCTGCTCCCACATATTGAGTGGCGACCTGACTCGAACCTGTCCAACAGGGCGTGGAGCCGCAGCTGCGCGCCTCCGTCTGGCCGTTCCTGCTGGACTGCGAGAGGCCCGAGCTGACGACCGAGGAGCGGCGGGCGGCGCGGGACCAGCGGCGCGACGACTACTTCCGCATGAAGCTGCAGTGGGCGTCCATGTCGGAGAAGCAGCTGACAAGGTTCACCGGCCTGCGAGACCGACGCGCGCTGGTCGGTGAGTGCCGAGCGGAGATAGCACTTAGCAGCCGTCGGCGGAGAGGGACTGTGGTCGGACAGGACAGTGGGCGTCGTAACTCGTAACACTGGGAAACTATTAGGAGAGACGTGATGTCGCCTGGCATATAATGTCAGCTGAAGAATCCACGCAGGTGTTGTGCTTCACCTCTGTCCAAGCTAGCCTCATGTAGGTAGTGTCTGGTCGTATTCAGTCTGCTTAGTACGCCTATCCGCTGAGTATTTGTTCTTATGACTATCTTCCCCCTTCTCTGTCTGCGTGCAGAAAAGGACGTGACTCGGACGGACCGCGGCGAGGCCTTCTTTTCCGGCACGTCCAACATCACGCTGCTGCACGACATTCTCGTTACCTACTGCATGTACAACTTCGACCTCGGATATGTCCAGGTGGGCCACTGTCCTCGGCATTCCACCGTCCTCATCCCGCGTAACGCTCAGGAGCTCATCCGCGTTGCGCTTAGGAAAATCTGGACAGGAGCGCAACGCGCTCCTGTCCAGATTTTCTGGTAAACTTATTGTCGTTATTATGTGCGCTCCGCGGTCCTCGACGGCCACCTGACGTCGATTTCATATCGCAGAGTTACTTCGGTTGATGAGCTGCGTAGCTTTGGTGCCCTCACACCCGAAATTATTGTCGGTCGTCACAATTTTTGTCGCACTCACGACTTTGTGTATGTAACTGTTGTTGCTGCGCCTGATTTACGAAACCTCTGAAGTAATTTAATCTCAACAGTGTGCAGCCGGGACTGTTCTCGTTGTGCTAGCCGTGAGTCGACAGCGGCTTGTGACTTAATTGTGCGCTGTTTCAGGGCATGTCGGACCTTCTCAGTCCGATTCTGTTCGTGGTGAAGGACGAGGTGGACGCCTTCTGGTGCTTTGTTGGATTCATGGAACGAGTGGTAAGGCGATCTGAGAATCCCGGCAGTGTGGGCGCGCATTGCGCCTTTCCTGTGATTGTGATCTGCCTTTTGATTTTATTCCCGTAAAGTGAAGTAAACATAAGGAAACAGTGCCTACATTCTGCATTCTGTTATCACTCCATCGGTGGTAATTCAGTGCTGTGATATGCATTATTTTTTAACAGGCGTATTACAATCCAGCCTCTTCGCTGTTACAGTGCGGTAATTTCGAGCTGACCCAGAAGGGAATGGAGCAGCAGTTCTCGGACCTGCACGCGCTTCTCCAGGTGTACGACCCGACCTTCTGCTCGTACCTGGACCGGAACGAGTCCAGCCAGATGTCATTCACATTCAGGTCAGTGCCCTGTCGATCGTTGGAGGCTGTTCGGCGAAACGGAAAGTTTTGCATTGCAGCTTAACCCGCGCCCTGCTGGGGGGGGGGGGGGTGTTTGAACACCCCCTCTTGTGGTTTTTCGCGAATATCTCAAAAACGGCGGCGCTCCGCGCCGCCGTTTTTGGTACACCTTATCATACATCAATTCTACACATGTTGTGAAAATTTCAGACCAAGGTCATTTAACCCGGCAGTTGCTGGGGTATTTCGCCACCCACCGTTTGCTGGGGGGGGGGGGGGGGCGTTAAACGCCCCCAGCCGATAACTCGAGAACCAATAGGCGCAGCGAAACGCACGAGGCGGCAAACGAAAGAACGCGACGAGACGCTTCAGATGAGTACTTTAAAGTTGAATTTTGAGGTCACAGGTCGGGTCAAGGTCAGGTCAAACACCTGAAATCGGGCTTTCAGTAGCATGGACTTCAGGACTTCGCAATGGGCGCCTGTCGTCATAAACTCTGTCAAAACGGTGCACAATCCATCATATAAGGCCTAAAATAGTGTCAGCTCCATGTAGGGGTCAGTCAAGCATAGGTCAGGGTCAAGGTCAGGTCAACCGGGTAGGCACATATCCCCGAAAATCAAAACTGATATTCGCAGCCCGTGACACATGTTTTATGGGTAATTTGGGGCGTAGAACACGATGGTGACATTCATTTTATCATATGTGTACGTGTTTGGCTCAAAAAGTTCAATTTAAGAAATGCATGTATCATGGTCGTCAAGTAGTCACGATAAATTGCCAAGTTTCAGTTCAAGAATTTGGAAAATGCGGAACGATAATCAATAATCGAAGATAGCCATTTGATGGTTCATGGTATTGGCAGTCTAATGGCGTTTACGGCATGTCTGTATGTCTATTCTGTGATTTTATATGATTTTTTGAACATATGCCGTTTTTGGTCGAAAACTCAGAAATCATGACGTCACTAAAACCTCGATATCTCAAAATTTTTCCGACCGATTTTTTTGAAACTTTGTCACAATAAACTTCAATCAATTCCCTACAGATACCCAAAATTTGGCGCGCCTGCGGCGCGCCGTTTTTATGCTATGGCCCGGCGAAAAAAAGTGGGGGCGTTTAACGCCCCCCCCCCAGCAACTCGCGGGTTAAGGTCAGGTCACCAGGTCACTTGAAGTGACCTCACCTCATAAAAACTTTCAATGTCTGTCATAGCTACACCGAGTGACCGATCGCTTTGAAACTTTCAGCGATTGCTAAAGGCAATAGCATGTACAAAATGTATATCTCAGAATTTTGATATCGATGACCTAAGGTCAGGTCAATTTTGCGACCTCACCATTATAAGTCAATGGGAGAAAATTGAAATGCGCCTTTTTTGGATGCAAGACATTATAAACACTCCCAAACACCGAATTACAAGTGGTGTAGACACACTGAACATGAAAATGGTGTCCGTGACCCTTGTTTATGCCCTGAGGTCATCTTAGGTCACGAATGGTATCTAACAGTTTTTCACAAATAACTTTTGATAGAGGCATGCTAGAGCGATGAAAACGCCTTAGATGTGTTCAGCTCGACGATACGGATCGACTGATATGCAACATGACTCTTTCCGGTCAGGTCATAACCTTGACCTGAGGTCAAATTTTCAAGTTGACCTTTCAAGGTCAAGTTATAGTTCATTCGATGCGTCTTGACGAGAGGAACACGATGCCGGTAAAAGTAAGCTGGTACAAGGCTTGGGTCAAAAGTTATTGCAGAAAAACTGTTTTCGAAAAAATCGGCTATTTTTGCAGTTTTTGCCCCCTGCAGGCAAAACCGTTGACGTTAGGTCAAATCTGAGAGAATTACTCAGAAAGGGCGTTAATAGGGCTATCGAATGCGCTTTTCCGCGGCGCTGTAGCTCTATTGGTTCCCGAGTTATGCGTTGGCTTCTTGGAAATTTTCGACATTCGACCTGGAAATCGGCGAAATTTTGCCTTCAATGACCTCTGGTGACCTGACCTTTGACCTGACCAAAAAATTGACCGAAGTGATTTCGTCATTATTTTTGACGCTCTTTCGAACGCCGCCTTCCGCGTATCGCTACGTGGCCCAGGAGCCGAGTTACAAGGGGGGGGGGTGTTCAAACACCCCCCCCCCCCCCCAGCAGGGCGTGGAAATCCAGGACCCCCAGCCGGGCGCGGGTTAATGAGGGGGAAGCGTTAAATCCGTTGCTTATTACCGCGGTACTGCGGTAGGCTAATGGCGGATAAGTGTACATACACTGCGGATTAGAGATGTCAATCGGATACCAACTTTTTGGTATACCGATACCAAACCAATACCAACTTGGTAGGACCATTTGGTATTTCAAGGCGAGTGCATTTGGTATTTTATTCATCACTAATGTCAAAGAGGCTGAGAATTTGGTAAAAAGTTGGTATTTTCCTCATATTCCCAAGCCGGTTTGGTTTCGGTATTTTTCCATGGATATTGTTGGTATTTGGTTTGGTATCGGTATCACGATTTTCCGTAATTGACATCACTACTGCGGATGTACCACGTGTTTCGTTCACAGACGGTGATGGCTGAATTGGCTTTCTTCCTAGTTATTTCCCCAATTCTCCCCCAATACGATGGTGACTGATGGTTTTCGTTATGCATAGGTGATAACCGTTCGCTGCCCGCTGGGTTTGCCGACTAGCTGCTGATGTTAACTCCTATCATGGATCAGATAATAGTATTATCTCATCCATGCTATTGTCTTACCCCTACCGCCCTCCCAGGTGGCTGCTGGTATGGTTTAAGCGCGAGCTCGACTGGCCCGACATCCAGCGGCTGTGGGAGGTGCTGTGGACCGGCCTGCCCTGCTCCAACTTTGTACTGCTGGTGGCACTGTCGGTACTCGTCCAACAAAGGTCGACCATCATCGAGTCCGAGCTGGGGTTCTCGGCCATCGTCAAGGTGTGTTGTAACGGCTGTATGGCTGACATGCACTTGGTGCCATGAAAGCTGTTGAAGTCACTGCAATTACAGGCCAGCTAGTGGTAATGGACCCAGCTGATTCAGCCGGTACCGGATTGGGGATTGACTTTAATCTGAACATGAGTATGTTCGATTTCAATATTATTTTGAATTAAATTTAATGCGCGAGCAAAAAGTTAGCATACAAAATAACATAAGAATACAATAACTAAGATGGCTCATGACATCCTCAGAGTTTCCTAGTTACTGATTATAGCGCTGTGGGTATCCTATTGATTCGCCTCTGACACTTCTTTCCGTTACCAGCACATCAACGACCTATCAATGCACATCGACCTGGAGTCGAGTCTGAAGCTGGCGGAGACCATCTACGGCCAGTTCCGGGACGGCAGTCGGGTGCCGGCGCCTGTACTCCGTATCCTGGACCTGCCTGTGCCGCCCGAGTCGGACGCGGGCTCCAGTCCGCCGGCCGGCTCTGCCCCGGCCGCCGCCGGCGCCGACTCGTCTCCCGCCGGCGGCCAGCGCAGCCACGACAGCAGTGTCAGTGAGGACGAGCGCAGCTACGAAATAGCGCTGGCCTCGCAGTATATGTGAATGTGGAGCGGACTGTGAGACGCAACATGACACCGCGTGGTGTCGACTTTAAGGAGGGATGCGTTTCGTACAGTGATGATGAGTAAGTGCGTTGGGAAGTGGCGCTGTAGATAACTGTTGGTTGTTGGTCGCTGGATGGTCACTTGACGAAGCGGTCATGACAGGCCCCGATCGACTTTGGAGGCACATGCGCGGAGCACAGAGGATTTTATGTAGCGTCGAGCAACGTTTCATGTACTGTGGGAGACAGGAATTGCACAGGATCTGGATGAATGGGGTCAATCTCGCATATGTGGCTTATCAGGCCTGCCTTCCGGTCGCTTATCCCGTGTCGCGTCAATTTGTGCGAGCTGATAACGTATCTCTAGGCGATCCGCACAGATCAAGGAGCTCGAAGCTGCGTGCGACGCGAAGACGAACGGTGGGCGCCTGGATGTTGTGCGCGGAAATCCCGGTTGTATGCTCGGTGATACTTAAGGCTATGAGGTCATGACGCCAGGGTGGTCAGTTGACTCAAATGTTTATACAGTCGGCCTGTAGTCAGTCTGGCTCGGGCCTCGCTCGAACACGTCGCGCTCCGCGAGAGTTGTTGCGTATAGTACAAGATAGAGTGTGGCAAGGACGACATCGCAGTCTTTTGATAATGCGTTATGTGTTACGGTTATGTTTCAGCCTTGTGCGTCGTTTATATAGTACCGCATATCTTCCAGTATGTTTATCATATACGGATAGTCCAGTTCAGAGTGCTGTTGTGTTGCATATCGCGCTCAGTTAGCCGGTGGAAAGTCTGCTTTAAAGCCGTCCTACTTACCCGCTGTGTTGTCGGCCCGAGTCCGCTCTCCGTTGCTGCCCCCGCTGCGTTGTCTGAATACCGCTGGCGCCGCGCTGTCTCGCTGCACGTGCACTGGTAGCCCCGCCCGCTGCTCTGTGGGGCCGGTCGGTCATACTGACCCCTGAACTCGGGCAGAGCCGCGATATTCGCCGGACTGGTGGACCCACGAGTCGCCGCTGCAGCGACTGGACGACGGCTGTCCATGTTGAGGGTCTGTTGTGAAGATCGTATTTTCGTATCTTGATGCAATATACTGTAAATGGCACGTGAGTTGTTGTGCGTTGGCCAGAGGTGTGGGTCGGTTATTGATGACTGGCAGGCTGCAGCGCTGGTTCGGATAGGATTGTCAGCGCAACGTTACCGTTAGGTGAAATCGCATTCCAATACCCATATTTTGCATCGACCAACTAATTCTAAGCACATCAAACTTGTTTATTGACACACATTATGATGGTGAAGTGAGATGGAACGGATGATGTCCGGCACTCGAACTATTTACAATTACAAATGTCCGTTGAATGACGGCGACAGCACACTTCTCGAATCTACATTCCACAGCCGCAGTTACGAGACAGCGCGATATGGTATGGCACAGAACACCGCATGAACGCGCGTCACCAAGATGCGTGGACGGACTATGTTTTGACGGGCCATGTCCTCGAGACTGACACAGCTGCCGTGGGTCCTCGGGGGTAAGAAAAACCGACAGTTCGTCTCAAACATGGACCATCAATGACTCACGTCCGTCGCTGACAAGCATTTATTCCGTCGATCACACCCCAGTTGTCGGGTTAGCTGTCCTGGACCCGTCACAGCACGCCTCGATATGAGCAGATTTTCAGGGTTCCGCAGCCATGGACGGATCGCGCCAATGTCTGTTCATGGAGAGATGAAGAGCCTGTTCATCACCTGCCGCTACATGTTCTCGATGACGTCAGCTTGTAAGTCTGCCGTTGATTTTATGGACACGTCGTCAGTGAGGCCATCCGACTGTAGTTCGGAGAGGATCGAGTCGCCGCCCAGGTCCAGGTCCTCGGAGATGCTGCCGTCGGTCGCGTCCCGCTCCGGCTCGGCTGGCGGCTTCTCGGCGGGAGCGGGGGCGGCGGAGAGGCTCGGCAGCTGGCCGTGCCGGAGCGGCGGCAGCGTGCCGCGGCCGGTCAGCGGGGGCAGCTCACCCACCGGCCGTGCGGCGGGCAGGGACGGCGGCGGCGGCTCGGCGGTGGGCCGCGACACGCCCAGGCTGCGCACCTTCGGCAGACTGTCGAAGAACGAGTCCTCTTCGTCGGATGCCGAGGCGGAGCCGCTGCCGGCGGCCGGGCCAGAGTCGGCGGCCGAGGCCGGCTCCGGGTCGGGGGTCGGCGTGGCGCCCGTGCTGGTGCCGGTGGCCGGCGGGGACGTCGTAGCTCCGCCGCCGCTGGCGCCGCTGTGGGCCGCCAGCAGCGCGACCAGCACTGGCTCGTGCTCGGCCGGGCTGAGACCCAGCGTCGCCGCCAGCCGCGGCCGCTCCTCCCGCCAGCCAGCCACTGACTCCAGCTCAGCATCCAGCACAGACAATGTACAGTCCAGCTGGAGGCAGGCCAGCAGCTCTCGCACCAGTGCCAGACAGCGCCTGCCGACTGGGCGCCCTGCTACGCTCAGCAGTGCCTCGCTTTGAAAGCGGGATGACTGGTCACCGCTACCTGAGCCCGCTGTTTCATCTAAAGCCAAGAACACACTGGCTCGCAGCTGAGCCCGTAGTTTGGGCAGCACCCCATTGTTCTCCAGAGCCTCGGTGACTAGGTCACGCAGCTCCACCTCACACTCATCCTCAGCCATCAGGCTGCTGCTCATGGTGATGAGTGTTAGTGCTGGCTGGTCTCACACTGATTAAGTGCCTGTGAAAGACAGACAGTGAAGTCAATCCTTATGCAAATCTGTCCATGTGATGGTAACCGTCATGACCATCCAGTCTTCAGATATTATTTAATTTGTGTAATACAAACATAATTTGCTAGAGAAAACAAGTGATAACATTCAAAAATTGGTACCAATCAAAGTTTCTTATTAACCCGCGCCCTGCTGGGGGTCCTGGATTTCCACGCCCTGCTGGGGGGGGGGGGGGGTGTTTGAACACCCCCCCTTCTAACTCGGCTCCTGGGCCACGTAGCGATACGCGGAAGGCGGCGTTCGAAAGAGCGTAAAAAATAATGACGAAATCACTTCGGTCAATTTTTTGGTCAGGTCAAAGGTCAGGTCACCAGAGGTCATTGAAGGCAAAATTTCGCCGATTTCCAGGTCGAATGTCGAAAATTTCCAAGAAGCCAACGCATAACTCGGGAACCAATAGAGCTACAGCGCCGCGGAAAAGTGCATTCGATAGCCCTATTAACGCCCTTTCTGAGTAATTCTCTCAGATTTGACCTAACGTCAACGGTTTTGCCTACAGGGGGCAAAAACTGCAAAAATAGCCGATTTTTTATGAAACAGTTTTTCTGCAATAACTTTTGACCCAAGCCGTGTACGAGCTTACTTTTATCGGCATCGTGTTCCTCTCGTCAAGACGCATCGAATGAACTATAACTTGACCTGGAAAGGTCAACTTGAAAATTTGACCTCAGGTCAAGGTCATGACCTGACCGGAAAGGGTCATGTTGCATATCAGTCGATCCGTATCGTCGAGCTGAACACAAATAAGGCATTTTCATCGCTCTAGCATGCCTCTATCAAAAGTTATTTGCGAAAAACTGTTAGATACCATTCATGACCTAAGATGACCTCAGGGCATAAACAAGGGTCACGGACACCATTTTCATGTTCAGTGTGTCTAAACCACTTGTAATTCGGTGTTTGGGAGTGTTTATAATGTCTTTCGTCCAAAAGAGACGCATTTCATTTTTCTCCCATTGACTTATAATGGGGAGGTCGCAAAATTGACCTGACCTTAGGTCATCGATATCAAAATTCTGAGATAAACATTTTGTACATACTATTGCTCTTAGCAATCGCTGAAAGTTTCAAAGCGATCGGTCACTCGGTGTAGCTATGACAGACATTGAAACTTTTTATGAGGTGAGGTCACTTCAAGTGACCTGGTGACCTGACCTTGAATGACCTTGGTCTGAAATTTTCACAACATGTGTAGAATTGATGTATGATAAGGTGTACCAAAAACGGCGGCGCTCCGCGCCGCCGTTTTTGAGATATTCGCGAAAAACCACAAGGGGGGGTGTTCAAACACCCCCCCCCCAGCAGGGCGCGGGTTAAATGAAATAAGATTCGGCTGATTTTATTTCAAATTCTGAATGATGAGAATGCTGGGTTTCAAACGTGATTGCTCAAAGCTTATCATTATAAAAATGAAATCAGTTGAACAGCATGAAAAATAAATAAAAATACTTCAAACCAAAAGCCAATAGCACAAAAGCACACCGTAGCAGCCGAAGATTTGAAGAGGAGTATATTTGGACATATAGGGCCCTGAACAAAAATGGAAAATTTATCAGCCTTGTATCCAGTTCAGCCAGTTCAGCGCCGAATTCTATAAATCACTTCTAAATATTCAACGCCTCTCACAAAACTGAGACAGCGCAGCACGACGGCTCGAGAGCGCACACAACAAAAGCAATAAAAAAAGACGTAAAAAGCAAACTATAAAACACTGTTTGCCTAATTCATGGATAAAAGACTAAAAACTGAATAAATTTAAAATATTCTGAATTTTGTCAGGTATTTACTTACCTGGTTGGGTTCCTTTTGCGTCCGGGGAGGAAAATGGAGGAGAAAGTGAGAGAGGAAGGTACAAGGAACCCTGCATTTAAGAGACGCGCCAGTCAGTAGGAAGTTTGTGCTGTAGATTATACATGTACAAACTGACTGGAGAAGTGAGTCTCCTTCACAGATTTACAGGAAGTAATTACTTAATGCACAAAAGTTCAGCATGGAGAAATGTTTGGAACTGTCCTAGTTCTTAGTGTAGGTAGAGCTTTCACGTTGGGTAAGAGTACAACGCATCATTGATATCGCGATCTAACAAACATTGACATTTGATCATAACAAACATTTAGTAAGACATTGACGATAAAACAAATTCAAATGTAGAAAAGTGTTGTAATAAACGTCATTTATAAATCATCAATTGTACGGCAATTGTGCGGCCACTAATGAAAATACACTTCTCGTAATTTTGATGACGTACATAACATTATCGAGTAAAATAATTGTTTGAAGGATAAATTATGCAACAGATCTTGAATATGCGCTTATTCTGATTTCATTTTCATAAATTTTATCCCAATAACCAGCTTTGTTGATGAAAAACTGCAAAAAATGTGTTTCAAACCTGGACTCTAAACTTTTTGCAGAATCTCAATGCGTCATAACAAAAGACAAATTATTTTATTTGCACTTTTGGCCTCGGATCCGATTGAAATTGTTTTGATTTGTCCCAGTTTTCTAGACTCCTCACAAGTCACGGGCATGCTCGCGGGTTTGGCGCGGCAGGTGTGAGCTTGAGGGCTAATATTATCAGTGTATTGTAACTTTGGTGGCAGCCTGTGTGTTTATTGGCAGAAGCAACTGGAAAATTAGTCATGAACTTTCAATTTTCGTTGGATTCTATTTTCCCTGAAGATTTAATGATCATCGGACGAGATCTCACTCCAAAAGTGGTTGATGGATCCCTGAATTCATCAACTCCTTCAGAGTATTACTACAAACACTTCTGCAGACTTGAGTGAGTAAAAACCAGCATCAATAAACTGAAACTGTGAAACATAAAATGCTCCAAATGACCTAACATTCTTGCATTGCATTCCTTCAGAGCTGACGGTGCTGAGAAAATCACAAGATAGATCCAGCTCAGATCCTGGATCATGGATCTAAGCTGGATCATTAACACACAAGATCCAGCTTAGATCTGTGACCCTGGATCATAGATATGAACTGAACTACTATCCTGGATCATGGATCTAACTAAGCTGGTCCTGGATCATGACATTGCATCATGGATCTGAGCTGGATCTTGTGTGATTTTCTCAGAACTGTCAACTCTGAAGGAATGGCAAGAATGTTAGGCCATTTGGATCATGGATAGCTTTGTAAGCAATGATTTCCACAGCAATTACATGCTTGAACTCCTTTTTTTTTTTTTTTTTCTACACCGCCACCCATTATCAGGTGACCAGGAGTGCCCCCTCCCTCTATCCCAACGACACACAGAACCTTACGTTAACACCACCAGGAAAATAATGAAGACAATTGTCGCGGCACTCCCAGCTAGGAAATGAAACAAACTCAAGGAAGCAAAAAACGAGACACATTATCATGCTGTTAGTATAAAGGTGTAAGAGAAGGCATAGTAGTCATAACTGAAAACAGTTAGTGACTAGTTTCTAATTCCCAGGAGTACACATTCGTTCATACATCCACACAGGAGCAGTGTTAGAAGGATTCAGATGAAGGGAATCATGCATTCAGGGGTATTATATACAAATCTGCTGGTCAGTGTTCAAGCTGGGTCATTTACTGAATCTCCGTTGTTTTGCCCAGCTAAGCGAGGCTTGTTGCTGGGCTCAAATCAACTCCTTTGATCTCAAAGCCATCAGATTCTCCTGAATGGTTGTCTGGGCTCTGTTCACATGTCTGGCTATTGTCAAATGTAATTTTGCTTGTCAGTGTGGCAGTATGCACTATAGTTCTCTATATGCGTAGGTACCACCAATACCTACAATGAATGCCAGATTCAGGCCATAATTTTGTTATAATTATTCATCATGATAACTTATGCAACTTCATTATTGTCTGGCAGGCATCCACTTGACATGGCATGCAATTGTTTGAGGCATGTTAATTGTTAGCATTAATTATATTGAGGGATCTAAAACTGTGTAATCTTTGCAGCCCATCCAGCAAGATGGCACTGGGTGAAGTGTTGGACAGAATGGGAGCTGCATCAGCACGTGCTCAGGGTCTCTCACAGGTCATCACAACCATGGAGAAGCTGAGGACTTCAGAGAATCACATTGTGTACATTATCACCAGGAAGCACCCTGACAGGTGGGTGCAACCAATTTGGAGGCTGGTTACAACTTCTTCTCACCTCATTGATTCAACCTTAACTCATTAATGCCGAGTGGCAACTATAGTTGCCAGCTACAAAAACCTACTGCTGAAGGCGAGGTAATAACTTCAGAACAGCATTTGAGGGTTACCTAATCAGCACAGTCCCTTCTCATCATGATTAGACGGTTTCGGTCACGTCCTGTGCGCAACATGCTTCACAAATCAAGAAATAGTCAGACAGTGCAGAGACGGCCGCCATATTGGCATGACGGTCCCGAAGAAAACGACGCTGATTTCCGGAGTGTCCGATAGTTCCCAGCAGTTGCGGCTTTTTAATCCGGAAAGGATGTAGGCATGCTACCGGCGTCTAAACTTCAAAGCACTCTACTCATTTGTAGATATTTGTGCTAGATTTGTACTTGGCAACTATAGTTGCCACTCGGCGTTGGCGTAGTCAAAAATATGAGCAGTGCATAGTTAAATGGATGTATTACGGATATACTGTAAACAAACATTTGTTATTTAGCCAGGCTGTCCCGGGTATCCCTTGAGTCATACTTACATGGACTTTTGCAAATAAATTAGTAATAAAGGTAGAAAATAATTATAAATGCATGTATGTCTATACATTACCATAGTGAACCCCATGCCCATCAATGTTTTCTTGGTCTATTTGTCGACGTTTTTCAATCTTATTATGTTTCATCTACTTATGATATTTTTGTGGAATGGGATGCAATCTCGCTGCTTCTCTTTTTCTCTCTCTCGCTCTCTCT